CTTTAAAGCGAAGTGACGATTATCATGATGACGTCATAGTACTTACAATTTGTTTTTTACTACTATGTAGAATCTTAGCTGCTTGAATCCTTCACACACTGAACACGTGATACAGGCGTGACCATTACACCGATAACACCTGTGAAAATAAACATAAATGAGACATATTAGGCCTACTATCATATTTTTTCTCATGCGCCTTCTGTTTTTTCTGATCAAGATTTATACAATGTATTTAATGGAGCTTAAAAGATAATTGAAAACAAATACAATGTACAAGTAATTCTAGTCGTTCTACTCTCATTCACCGAAGGCACGTTTCATGCCGGGAACAACAGTCGAAGTAGATATACGCCGAAAAATACATGTCAACAAACAGTCTGCTCTCTGATTGTTAGGCGATATAGCTAGAACATTTTTGAATAATATTTCTTACCTCCGTTTACCCTTTCCTGCACATTTCTTGCATGGTTCGTTCTTTTTAACACCTTTGCCTTTGCAATTTTTACACCTTACTTTGCCTTTGCCTTTGCATCGATAACATTTTACGAATCCGCGACCCGTACAGCCGTGGCAAACCTGCGGGGATTGGAATTGGGGATTATAGTCATTTTAGAAACCCAAGAATTAGTATGAGGCAATATGACACGTATATAGTGACGCTTTGATTTATGGTACATACAAATAACCCAAGCGAATCGAGCGAATATTATTTTGCGCGCAACAACAACGATTTAACGTGATCCACCTTAAATTGAAATGCAGTATATTTATACGGCAACATGGAACAAGCTGTATTTTGATAATTTCGGTAGGGTGAACACGTTTTACAAAGTTTTTGTTCATTTGCCACGCGACGCAAACATCTATTTCAAGATAGCCAATTAAAGTAACTGTTGTAGTACGACCAATAAGACATAGTCTTGTATAGACAAGTCCTATGCATATGCAGGTCTATCTGAAGATAACAATCTCTTGTTTAGAAAATTGGTTTCATAGTATACTTACATCGATTATGGACGTGTTCTCTACTTCCTGTGTACTCTCACTCGGTTCATACATCATTGGAGGTGGCATTTCAATCTCCCAAAGTCCGGGAGCAGGTACAGAGCCCGCCTGTTGGAAGTTTTGCCCTATTGAAAACGAAAGCGAATAACAAAAGACAAGATAAGCTACGTTTTCACTTCGGAGGTCACAGCCGATTGAGTCATTTATTGATGTACTTCGAATAATCGCATTCAATATTTTGACGGGAAACCCCAACAGCAAAATTAAATTTATCAAATTTCCCCGCTGCAGGCGCACTACATTGAACACTTATAAATACCTTTGAATGGTTCGTATAACCTCTGCGCGGTTCTCTGTTCGCCAAACGTAGTGATAGAATACTGTGGAGATGATGACAATATAATTAGCATTTATGCGGTTTTAATATGCAACATTCAAGAAAATCAAACAATGCCGCGGCCAATACCTTACGTGGCGACGGGTACAAACATGTATTGTTATAAGTGGTATTGCCCCGATCGCTTTTCTGACATGTCTTGGTCGATTTGTCCGACGATTTTGTCAAACCAATCGGAAAATCCTAAAACAAACATTAACAATATGATTCTGTGCCATTGTAATTGGTCGTTTTTAGTTTTCTATAGGTCATGTGGAATTTCTCGTTATATATCATTGAATTGAAATCTCGCGATATTAATACTCAAACTCACGTGGTACGCAGAGGACGGCGTAACGGATTCGATGGTCATCTCTTTCACTGGTTTCTTTCCGTAACAACAGTGGGAACTCACATGCTTCATCAACGCATCTTTGGCATCTTCTTCACTGATATCTGTTACCCTGGAAACAAAAGATAAGACATTTATATGAGCTCTGTGTGTAGATTGATATAGTATCAATTGCGTGGAATGCCAACAAGGTTATAGGTCATGAAGTATATGATCAATTAGTGATCACGTGACAAGGTGGTGTAGTAATGATGTGATGTGATATGAGGTGAGATAGTAGCGAGATATTAACCGCGCATGCGTTGACGGAGTGGTTGCACGGCGGGTTGTGAATCACATGTTGTGAGGTAGTAGTCATTTTTTGGTGCGGTGGTGGTAATCATATGTGATAATTTGGTAATCACATATGGTGAAATAATAATCATATGTGGAGTAATAGTAATCATATATGGTGGGGTTGTGATCATATATGGTGGGGCTGTGATCATATGTGTTGGAGTAGTGATCATATGTGGTGAGGTGTAATCATATGTTATGGGGTTGTGATCATATGTGGTGGAGTTGTGATCATATGTGATAGGGCTGTGATTATATGTGGTAGGGTGTAATCATATGTGATGGGGTTTTGATCACATGTGGTGGAGTTGTGATCATATGTAATGGGGCTTTGATTATATGTGGTGGGGTTGTGATCATATGTGGTGGAGTTGTGATCGTATGCAGTGGGGAAGTGATCATATGTGGTGGGACAGTAATTATATTTGATGGGGTAGTAATCATGTGCGGTAGTTTAATGGTCATATGCGTGATATTATTCATACGTGTTGGGGGTAGTGATCATATGTGGTGGGATGGTCATCATATGTGTCGGGGGTAATAATCATATGTGGTGGGATAGTCATCATATGTGTCGGGGTAGTAATCATATGTGGTGGGATAGTAATCATATGTGGTGGGATAGTAATCATATGTGGTGGGATAGTAATCATATGTGTTGGGATAGTAATCATATGTGGTGGGATAGTAATCATATGTGGTGGGATAGTAATCATATGTAGTGGGATAGTAATCATATGTGGTGGGATAGTTATCATATGTGGTGGGATTGTTATCATATGTGGTGGGATAGTAATCATATGTGGTGGAATAGTAATCATATGTGGTGGAATAGTAATCATATGTGGTGGGATAGTAATCTTATGTGGTGGGATAGTAATCTTATGTGGTGGGATAGTAATCACATGTGGTGGGATAGTAATCATATGTGGTGGGATAGTAATCATATGTGGTGGGATAGTAATCATATGTGGTGGGATAGTAATCATATGTGGTGGGATAGTAATCATGTGTGGTGGGATAGTAATCATATGTGGTGGGATAGTAATCATATGTGGTGGGATAGTAATCATATGTGGTGGGATAGTAATCATATGTGGTGGGATAGTAATCATATGTGGTGGGATAGTAATCATATGTGGTGGGATAGTAATCATATATGGTGGGATAGTGATCATATATGGTGGGATAGTGATCATATGTGGTGGGATATTAATCATATGTGGTGGGATATTAATCATATGTGGTGGGATAGTAATCATATGTGGCAAGGTTATGATACTATGTGGTCAATGTAACCCATAATTGTAATATAACAGCGTAGAAGTGACGTCATATGATGCAGAATGTCCACGTAGCTAGAAAACATAAAACTCCCATACTTACGATGAAAAATTTTCTGGTTCAGTTTCGACAAGTGAGTTCTTTGATTGCATTTGTATTGCGATAGGTTTACCTAGTAAGGAAACAAGAAGACCAGTCAGTTGGTAAACCTTTGATGCAAATGTCCTCCGCAATTTCGTTGAAGCGAGAGTCACGTGACTTGTTTTTTCATATCAAATAGTGTTCTCCCATCATCGCATCCACTGTTACCTTGGTTACATACATCATTAGGACAGTCGATGCAATGACGTGTGAGAATGAAACACTACTCGACGGACAAAAAACAAGTCTCGTGTCTCTCGTTTTTACCGAAATCTCGACGGCCATTTTGCGTTCGCAAAACGGAACTATGTTATGCAAGCGGTGATTGTAGTAATATTTATTTTCACTACAGCGGTTACCCTGGCCAAGGCAGCTGAATACTAAACGCACAATTAATTTCACAATTGATTTACTTATAATATTTTATAATAATTTATTATATTTTAGCTTTCAGCAAATACTTACTTTCTTTAACAGTGACGAATTCATATCCCGGTATGGGCTGGAATGCTTGGTTCATCTGATAAGTTGGTTCTTCGGCGTTCTCGTTATCCTCCACCTCTGTGTCTGGGGCGTCTGCCCAGTTGAAACTCGCCTGGTCTACTTCGCCTCCCGGCGGTGTCCAGGCTAAAATAAAGATGAATGTGTGAGTTTAGTTAAAACATATGATATTTAAGACAGATTTCAAGCATTTTTCAGAAACTTTTTCGCAAAACTATGTGGCAATGTTTAAGTAGACTCTATTCACAGCTTTTAGATTTTATCCAAGTGGCGTCACTAAGATAAATAATTTAAAATAATAAATAATCTCTTGCGAAACAAAAGGATTCCCAATTTATCATCTAATCCAGTATCTTGAAACGGCGCCACTATGAGGCCAATATGGCATACTGATAAAGTAGATCGACAATAGATTGCTAGGCTACACTATTCAACTAAAAGGTAGGTTAAAGTTCAGGTGGTGACAGGCGCTGAAAATCATCACTAAATTCCAAACACAAAACAAAAACATACCGTGACGTCATACCTAAAGTATGTACTACGTATAGTATGGTCGGGCTGGTGTCCTAGCCGTGGCATTTTTTTCTATGACGATTCATCAATCTCGGTCCGACGCGAAATTACCAACGCCAGAAAACTTTTATTTTTCGTTTTTTACAGTCGAAAACCCTTCCCGACAAGCATCCATTGCGTTCACTTCCGTAAAATAATTTCGCGATTCAAATTGATTTGCGCGTTTAGTTGGATCTTTATCGCATATAATCATACATAGTTACGTCTAGACTGTCGACAGTTCTCGGGTCTAATAAATAATCACTTATTTTGAAACGCCGTAGACGTTTTGACGAAATGCCGAATGCATTTCAAGCGTATAACAAGGCCCGAGATACTGTTATAGCATGTAACGCCCTCATGCGGCTTTACGTGAAAATTTCCCGGTGACGTTACTGCTGAGACTTGTCACTCCAAACCACGTCATACATCACCAATCGAATCACCAATAAACAGGAAGTAGTACACTGTAGCCTCGCTATAACGAACTCTTCGGGGGACATACAATTAGTTTGTTATAGTGAAATGTTCACTATAATGAAGCACACAATACATTGGGTTTGTTGTGAGCGGGAGACATGCTATGTGTTCATTATATCAGGAAGTTCATTATAACGGTGTTCATTATATTGAGGTTACAGACGGTGTTCATTATATTGAGGTTACAGTGTAGTACGTCTACGGCGTTTGAACATAATTGACTCTTTATTAGGCCCAAGAACTGTCCACAATCTAAGTTACGTCTGCAACTTGCATACCCTTATATTTGTTCATTATGATATATAAAAATAAAATCCAGCGAATATACTTTTTTTTTCCTATATTTCACATTAAACTCATCAAAAATCAGTGAAAATGAATTTCATACAAAACGTTCAAAATGCCTTTTCAGC